GGGGGGGGAGGTAGGGGGGTGGGGATAGTTCCTTTAGCAAACACTCAGAGTTCAAGCCCACCCAGCCTTGAGTGAGGTGGAAGATCTGCCCAAGGAGCCCCACCCCTTACCTTGGAGCCACTCCTCTTCCATTCCACCACCCCCAGCTCCCACCACACTCACAAGTAGGTGTTCAAACCCTAACTTATAACTTCTACCTGATCCCCTCATCTGAGAAATTAGATACCTGGTCTTACCATTCTTTAACTTATCCAAGTCTTCTGGAGTTTCTATAAATTTCTCTTCAAACTGGAAAGCAGAAACAGTGAATTAGCATATCTAAAATATCAAGGATGCTTCTTTAAAATCATCTGATATTTGAAAAAGATTCATGTTTCTAATTATTGCACAAATGTCAAAAATGATATTTTGTAGATTGCTTAAATCAAAATCCAGATAAGGCTTACACATTATGCTTAGCTTCTGAGTTTAAGTTCTTTGATGAGAAGAAATTTAATAATATATTAGGTGAAATCTGTTCATCTCTTAATAGCTGACAATTTTTCTTTTAACATAAAACTCTTGACAGGTCATTTATAGAAGTAGAAGAATCTCCTAGCTTATGTGAGAAACGTATTCTGATAGAGTCAATTTTTGGTCTAACTTAGGATGACAAAACTCAGATCTAACCTCTACTCCGGCTGAAGCCAGGAGCCACCGGATGGACTCCATTCTGCCACGTCCATTAAAGTAGTGAAGCTTGGGCTTCCCTGCCATGATAGACTCTGAATTTCTCTAAACATGAATGAAACAACAAACGAATGAATGAATGAATGAATGAACAGATGAACGATATCACAGAAGCAAAAACATACTTTTTGATGTTGGTCAAATAGCACCAACAGTGCTTAAGGAGTACCTGCCTTCCTCATGGAAGAATTAGAAGAGACCCTAGAATGTCTTTCAAGGCCCAATTCTCATACATCATTAGCCAGTCCTGGGAAACTCTTCCAAACCCTGCTTGTTACCTCCACTAGGTAAAGTCTGATTCTCTTGGCAGGCTAATAGGTGAGAGTGTGTGGTAAGGATGCAGGTGTGGGTGTAAGGAGGAGGGAGAAGGATTAGAGAATTGTGATTTGTTGAAACTCTGCTAATGATCCTGACCCAATGCCAGTCCTTTTGGATACATTATACCTTCAATCATCATAATGGCCCCATGAACTATTTGTTATCAGACCCATTTTTCAGTTAATGAAACCAAGGCTCAGAGGTGAAAAGGCTTGTCCATAGTCTTCTCTAGTTAGTGATGGACATGGAAATCCACACCTAGGACTAAAAAGAGAGCAGGCTTGGAATCCACTCCAGTGTTGGCGCTGGGAGCCTATGAGGGACACTGAAAGCAGAGGACATCTCTGACAAGACCAGGATGAGGAGCAGAGTCAGGCTTCCACTCCTGACTGTTATGCTGCTTTTGTTTAAAACAAAGTTAGGACTAAGACTCGCTTAACTGCAGCTCAAAAGACCCTGGTTCTTTTTTTTTTTTTTTTTTTTTTTAATGTTTTATTTATTTTTGAGACAGAGAGAGACAGAGCATAGCAGGGGAGGGGCAGAGAGAGAAGGAGACACAGAATGGGAAGCAGGCTCCAGACTCTGAGCTGTCAGCACAGAGCCTGACACGGGGCTTGGACTCAACGAACCGCGAGATCATGACCTCGGAGGTTAAGTCGGAGGCTTAACCAACTGAGCCACCCAGGCGCCCCGACCCTGGTTCTTTCCATAGACACAGGATGCTAATTGCTAATTTCCTTCAATTCCCTTCCTTTTTTTTTTTTTTTTTTTTTTTTTCCTTTAGTTTAGTTTTTTTGATTCTACATTCTGCCTTTACTTGGTGCACTTTATAATCTGAAAAACGGTATATTACCATATTAACATTACAGTCAATGGAACAGAACTAACATTTCTTCAATGTCTATCATACAATGGGTATTCTCGCCTATTTATCTTCAATTAATCCTACAAAAATCACCTGAGATACATTCTGTTATTAGTGTCATTTTAAAGTTGAGGATACTGAGGTTTCTTGAGTAACTTGCCCAAAGTAAGTGGTAAAGTTGGGACTCAAACCTACCTCTAACTCAAAGACAAAGGCTTTTATTTTCTACACTGGTGTTTTTAAAAAATGTGTGACAATTCTTCAGTGGATTGTGAAATCTACTAATTTTTAAAATGAAGTAGGAGAAAATAGAAAATATCAGAGTGCATTCATGTAGAAACACAAACTTTGTTTCATGAGGCCTTAGCTTCAATTATGTGTTTGTTGTGTATAAGGGCCTGTGCATGAGTACACACTCATTTGATCAGTATAATGGTACTTTGTGATACTTTGTGTCTGGTCAATGAAGTTTGAAAGCCCTTGGTCCATCCCAGGCTGCAGGGAAAGTGAACCAAGCAGGGAACCAGATAATAAAACTCAGTGGCTCAAACAATGGATGTGCTATCATAGGTGTGAATGGAAACACACAGGACTCATTAAAAGGTGGAGTCCCCAAGGCAGGTCTTAAGGAGGAACAGTTGCCTTTTCTATGCAAATCCCAAGCTCTGTTTGCAAAACGTTAAGATTGTCTTGCAAAATTTTGTTGTGGAGTTTGGGACAAAAATATACCTCCCTTACCCAGTGGATACATCTTTGATAAAACTTGAATTTTACAATTTTAGATATCAAAATGTTTTTCATGTCCACATTTTTCATTTGGGACTCAACAGTCAAATCTTTAGAAAGTAAAGAACCATTTGGAAACATAGTTACTCAAGTCATCTGTAATTAGAGATTTTGTTTATTGTACTTTTTTACCACAGGGAATAGTGGTACTATGACTCAGCAGAATGAAAAGAATAGCGCTCATGCTATGTGTGTTTTGAACTACAGGTCACAGAGCTGTGATTCAAACCCTCACACTGCTTACCCATGGACTGAGGATCAGGTTACTAAAGGAAATGATATTTACCTTACGTAATATTTTATCATAGGACTCCCCCTGATAAGCAACTTTGTTCACCTTCTGAAGGGGAGGTCTCCAGAGGCCTGATAAAGGCTGGGGCAAAGGTTATCAGAGAACTTTGCCTGATCAAGACATCAGCAGATTTCTGGTTCTGCCCCGGCCATGTGCATCCCTTATGTCTTCCGTGTCTGGCCCATCCCCCATGCCACTGGCTCCCTGATCCAGGCACTATGGAGTCTTTCCCGCCCCAGCCCTTTGCATGGATTCCAGCCACTGCTTCTCCCTGCAGCTGGTCACAGCACTAGCACAAGGCCTCACTGTCAACTCGGGTTGAAAATGATCCCTTCTCTCCCAACATCCTGTTTCTTACCTGGTAACAGACCTTTCACTGCTCCTTCTTCAACACTTTGTTTCTGGTGACATGTAACGTATAGCCTGCTTTCAAAAAGTTTCCTTCAAACTTTCTCGACTAACATCATTGATCAGTTTCATGTACTAAGAAATGATGGTTCACAGGAACAAGACAGGAGCCTGATTTGGTGTCTGCCCTAAAGGGTTTAGAGATAACTGGCAGCACACAAAAGGCCCAGTGGTGACTCCAGTTTAATTGGGTCCAACCCCCAAATCATGATTCTCTTACCCAAGTAATTCAGAGCAAGGTGAAGGTTGCCAGGCTGAAAGCCAAGGCTCCTGCCTCCCAGGACAGCATGACATGTTCATGCTCATTGCCTCTTTGACCACCATTTGTCGGTTTTCCTGCTCTTCAAATTAGGATTGTGCCTTATCCTTGTCAACCCTGCTCTCTTGAGCATCTTGCAAAGTGCTTTTCTTCACTGTCATTTCAGTATCTTCTGCCATACATGCTATATCTTTTCCCGTGGATTCTGTTATGCCTGGACAACTTCTGGATTGTTACAGTGATGTCACTGAAACTCTAGTCTCGCCTGTCCAAACCTGTCTTTCCCCACCAATGTTAACACTTAAGACAGCACATCGTTGACTCTTATATTCTGATTGCAATGACTTGTGCATTCTAGCTAGGTGAATTTCTGTGCCTTTTAAAGGTGAATTAAGTGTTCTGCTGATTACCTACTTTTCCCATCAAGATTTCTTGAGTTTGGGAGTTGGAAAAGTCACATAATCTAGTGATTCTTAAGTAGGGGTGATTTTGCTTCCCCACACCTTGGAAGACATCTGATAATGTCTAGAGACATTGTTAGGTATCAAAACCAGAAAGGAGAGTGTTGCATTGTCAGCTGGGTAGGGATCAGAGATGCCTCTGATATGGCATGAGACCATGCTTGATGTGCCTCCGAATGCTTTTTGTCTCCTACTAGTCATTCTGCATTTTATCTGCTTATTTTTCATCAACGTGTTATCCTAACAGACACATTTAATGGAAACTTAGTTGAAAATGTCTTATGGTTGATTGCAATTAGCTACTATACCTATGTAGTCTTTCCAGGATAGGATGCACTGCCATTTTGGGAAAACACAGTAATTCTCCATTATCCATTGGCACTTATTCTGCTCCACAGGCTGCCTGTCACTGGTCCTAGGGTGGAGCCTGACCCCTGCACTGTGCTCTTTCTAGAAGTACTGAGTGAAACAGAAAGAAACCATGAGAATCTTAACTGTGTCAACAGTACTGCTGAAGTAACCATTTCTTGCAAAACTTGTAAATAAGCTCTCATTGTAGATATTTTAAAGGTCGAAGTTCACAAATTTGAGAAAATATGTATGTTAACACTATTGGCAAGTACATTCTTTAATTAAATGTACATTTCTATAACAAATATTTTTAACTAAACAACAATGGCAACAAAAGAACAATTAACAGGACAGCTCCCCCACAACACAGAATAAGCCAGCCTAAAGTGTCAAGAAGTCCAAGCTTGTGAAACCCTGTTCCAGCCCTTCTCTAGGTTTGCCATGAGTTGCCCAGAAAGAGAATGGGGCTTGCCAGTCAGCTAATCAGAGCAGAGACTGACTTAGAATCTAGTTCTGCTGACATTCAGATTAATTTTTTCTCTTATATTAAGTCTTAATTTTTAATTTTTACAGCCTACATCACATCACTGTATCATAATTCACAACTATTGCGTGTTGACTATAATGGTTCTCTGTGTCTGCGCGGGATACATTCCAAGACCCCCAGTGGATGCCTGAAACCGAGGAGAGTACCAAACTCTACATACACTATGTTCTTTTCCTATATATACATACATACGATGAAATTTCATTCATAAATGAGGCACAGCAGATGAACAACAATGACTAATAATAAAATAGAACAATTCTAATGATACGCTATAATAAAATGATGGGCAATTTATAACATACGAATATTTTTCTTTCTGGAATTTTCCATTTAATGTTTTCAGACTGCAGTTACCACAGGTAACTGAAACCGCAGAAGGCAAACGACACGTAAGGGGGCCACTATGCTTCCACAGAGAAAGTAAGTCTGGCAAAACACTCGCACTCTCTCCTGCACTAGTCATATTCTCAGATTGCTGAAATGGTATCATTCTTTTTTCCCCTTATATCATTCAGTTTTTTTCTACCTAAATCCTTATGTCCTAGGTTTCTAATCTCTTTATTTTTATATTTCTGTAAAGATGTATCCAACAGCGAGTGAATAAACATCTCTTGGGGCACCTGGGTGGCTCAGTTGGTTAAGCATCTGACTTCAGCTCAGGTCATAATCTCACAGTTCATGCTTTTAAGCCCTGCATCAGATTCTGTGCTGACAGCTCAGAGCTGGAGCCCGCTTCGGATTCTGTGTCTCCCTCTCTCTCTGCCCGTCCCCTGCTTGTGTTCTCTCTCTCTCTCTCAAAAATAAATAAACATTCAAAAAACAAAACAAAACAAAACAAAAAAGCTCTTGAACTGTTCCCCAGACACACCAAGAAGTGTCATGTGAGTATAAAACAGGCTTTTCCTTGTGCTAAGGACACATATGAACGCAGTTTTCTGGTGACCTAGAGAAGAGGATGGAAGGCAATGTCTGAAAACTTAGAAAAGCAGTACTTACCTTACTGAGGTCTGTTTCCCACTAGGCTCAGCAGCTGCGTGCCAATCCTTCCTGCGTTTATAAGCTCTTTGATAGTAACTCCTCCTCTGTGAGGTGGGTAGAGTTCAGTGGGGGAAAAGTCACTCCCACAACGTTCAGGGCCTTGGCTTCTGTGACAGATTTGAAGGAAATGGCGAGTCACCTTCTTATGAAACAACTATTTAATATGTTCCTTTTCAAGGTTGGCAATTCAAAGATTAAACAATTTCTGACTGATTGGACTCTCTCTGCTAGTTAGTGAGGTATGGCTTTGGGAAGAAATTTACAGTGAGGTTTTCATGAATTGCATACTAGGACCAAGACAGATGAAAAACCTCTACCACGAGGCTAGCAGATCTCTGGAATGCCTTTTATATTGGGTTTTAAATAAAATACAGGGCACCCAATTGAATGTGAATTTCAGATACATAATACATTATCTTTTGGTACTGGCACAAAAATAGACATATAGATCCATGGAGCAGAATAGAGAGCCCCAGAAACAAACTCATCATTATATGGTCAGTTAATCTTCAAAAAAGGAGGCAAGAATATACAATAGGAAAAAGAGTCTCTTCAACAAATAGTGCTGGGAAAACTGGACAGCTACATGCAAAAGAATGAAATTGGACTACTTTCTAACACCATTACAGAAAAATTAACTCTCAATCGATTAAAGATCTCAATGTGAGACGTGAACCGGGAAAATCCTAGAAGAGAACACAGGCAGTAGTTTCTCTGACATCAGCCTTAGCAACATTTTTCTTTCTTTTTTTTTTAATTTTTTTTTTAACGTTTATTTTTTTTTTCTGAGACAGAGAGAGACAGAGCATGAACAGGGGAGGGTCAGAGAGAGGGAGACACAGAATCTGAAACAGGTTCCAGGCTCTGAGCTGTCAGCACAGAGCCTGACGCGGGGCTCGAACTCGCAGACCCTGAGATCATGACCTGAGCTGAAGTCGGCCGCTTAACCAACTGAGCCACCCAGGTGCCCCGCAACATTTTTCTAAATATGTCTCATAAGACAAGGGCACAAAAGCAAAAATAAACTGTTGGGACTGAATCAAAATAAAAAGCTTTGCACAGAACAGAAACAATCAACAAAACAAAAAAAGCAACTTCCTGAATGGGAGAAGATATTTGCAAATGATACACCTGCTGAGGGGTTAATATCCAAAATATCTAAAGAACTTATTTATACAACTCAACACCCAGAAAACAAATAATATAATTTAAAAATGGGCAGAAGATATCAACAGACATTTCTCCAAAGAAGACATCCAGATGGCCAAGAGACACATGAAAACCTGCTCAACGTCACTCATCGTCAGGGAAATACAAATCAAAACCACTATGAGATATCATCTCACTCCTGTGAGAATCGCTAAAATCAAAAACACAAGAAACAATGAGTGTTGGTGAGAATGTGGAGAAAAAGGAAGGCTTGTGGTTGGTGGGAATGCAAAATAGTACTGCCCCTGTGAAAAACACTATAGAGTTTCCTCAAAAATTAAAATTATAATTATGGTATGAGCCAGTAATTCCACTGCTGGGTATTTACTCAAGGAACATGACAGCAATGCAAAAAAAAAAAATATATATATATATATATACACACACACACACACACACACACACACACTCCAATGTTTATTGCAGCATTATTTAGAATAGCCAAGATATGGAAGCAACGCAAGTGTACCTGGAAAGATAAATGGATAAAGAAGATGTGGTGTGGGGTGCCTGTGTGGCTCAGTTGATTGAGGGTCCAACTCTTGATTTGGACTCCGGTCATGATCCCAGGGTTGTGCGATCAAGCCCTGCATCAGGCTTCACACTGAGTGTGGAGCCTGCTTAAGACATTCTCTCTCTCTCTCTCTCTCTCTCTCTCTCTCCCCCCCCCCCCCC